TAGATTACTCCGCAAGTAGTTCGGGGCACTCTGGAGCGAGCCATGCTCAATAAACGCAGATACCAATCAATCAACACATTACAATGTTAATGGGAGAATACATTATACACATATATTCTTAACACACGTGAACAGAGGTTTTCAGAATGATCCGTTAAGGTTTATGACAAAAATACCGTTTTAATGCGATCATGAAAAACCCAGAAGTACATTCCGGGACATTTTAAGAACATTTTCAGATAATTGAATTATGGATTTAGGTTAAGTTTATGTTTGGGTCACTCACCGCTGATGTTCACAATTCTTTTTTCAGTTTTCATGCAGTTCCAGAGAGTTCTAGTTTTGAAATTACTAGCCTAACTGTTACTAGAATAACTGTTACTATTTTTGTGTTCTGTTTGTACAAAGCCGTATAAAAAAGCAGGATAATGTATATTACGCAAGTCATTATGGGAAAATAAGTACCTTCAGGGCGGAAGCATCCGCTTCGCCCTGTCGGTACTTATTATGATAATGACCTGCGTAATATACATTATCCCTTACATATTTGTCAGTAAATCCGTATAACCTGGGTAAGTTTATGAACAAGGATGGAGACATTTGGTAAATACAAAAAGGTTTTATTTTTGGTCAAAATAAATGTTTAGGCATATGACAAAGTTATGCATCAGAGCCTCCTCTGCACCACTGCTACACAACTGCTGTTGCTACAGGTATGTCCCATTCTGTCACATGGTCTCTCCATGGTTTTCAGATTGTACAGAGCACAGTCAGCACCATTGACTTCACATGTTCTGTGTCCGAGTCATGCCTTTAAGACGAAAGCATTTTCAACAACCACTCGCGCTGTGCTGAATTTTCTATTAAACACTTGCTGTTAGTCTGTCACTCTGTGTCCTGAAAAGGTTTTAGAATCCAGTTCTACAGGGGGTAGGAAAAGTCCCCTCTCAGGTAATAAAAATCAACTCAGAGGCCCAGAGACTCGCGGTCTGGACCCAGGGACTCGTCTCGGGCTGGGCTACGACCCCTGTGAGTTTCACGCACGGGGGACAAGAGACGGGAATGTTACGGCGAAAATCAGCGGGGGACAGCGCGGCCGCGTCCGCTCATGAGCGCCTATTCTCGGTCAAGAAAAGGGAGGTTTCCCGGGCCCGTAGAAGGCGAACCAGGGGGGCTAGAGACATGGGGGCTGGACCCACGGACTCGTCCAGACCTGCTATCACTAATATTATAATAAATCCATGCACCGCACGTTACTGGTTACACGTTGCGTGTAAATGGCGTGGTCGCATCTACAGCCTTAGTCCTGGGTCCACAGCCTCAGTCCTGAATCCACAGCCTCAGTCCTGAATCCACAGCCTCAGTCCTGAATCCACAGCCTCAGTCCTGGGTCCACAGCCTCAGTCCTGAATCCACAGCCTCAGTCCTGAATCCACAGCCTGAGTCCTGGGTCTACAGCCTCAGTCCTGGGTCTACAGCCTCAGTCCTGGATCTACAGTCTCAGTACTTGGTCTACAGCCTCAGTCCTGGATCTACAGTCTCAGTACTTGGTCTACAGCCTTAGTCCTGGATCTACAGTAGGGGTGGGAACCTAAGGATACCTCACGATACAGTACGATACACAATACAAAGCTCACGATAACGATAAAATCATGATAACAATATTACGATAACGATTTTATCACGATACAACGAATACTGATATATTCGTCAGAAATATACAATATGCCAATTTATGGCATAAATAAAAGAAAAAATACTCTTTATTTCATGATAAATAGTATGGAGATGCGTAATGTAGCCATATATTAAGTATTGATACCAATTTAAAAAATATATATATATTTTTTTTCAAAATCGATATCGATACTTGGCAAATGCATATCGATAATCGAATCGATATGCATTTGCAAAGTCACCCCCCCACCCCTAATCTACAGCCTCAGTCCTGGGTCTACAGCCTCAGTCCTGGATCTACTGTACAGCCTCAGTACTGGGTCTACAGCCTTAGTCCTGGATCTACAGCCTCAGTTATGGATCTAGAGCCTCAGTCCTGAATCCACAGCCTGATTATGGGCCTTTCTCACATTTTTCGCCCACTTCTTATTTTGAGTGTTTCCTCTCTGATGCAGGAGGGTCCAAGGACAGTGACGATCCAGGACATTTATGACCATTTATGGACCGTGGCCGTCCCGCTCCCTCAATGGCCCCTGTGTGTTTGTTATTAATTAAGACACTTAACCCCACTTTGCCTGAAGCCCCCACTGAAAGATCTCAGCTCCTGTGGACTCATCACCTGCAGGAGGATCAGTGAGGGGCTGGTGCTTAGTGTACTGGGTGCAGCTCTGACTGCCACCCCCCCGACCCAGAAATGGATTAAGGGGAAGAAAATGGATGGATGGATGGATGGATATATTGACTGTATCCTGACATCAGCCTTGTTTCTAATCTGCTCCAGACCCGCATTGGCAATCACGGAAACTCTCTGGAGCCGTGAGGACAGGGCCCACAACCCACACAGACCCTCCATTCACTCGGTCGCAGTGAAAGTGAGGGAAGAGGGAGTGTGTTTGGGGTCTCTCTCCAGTGCGCATGCGTGCTCGCTCTCTCCCTCTCTCCCTTTGTTCATCCACACAGCCCAGGGAGGAGAAAGCTAGCAAGATTAGCATGCCCGTGTTCGGAGGACTCACGTTTGATCATAGAAAGGTAAGGTGTGCGTGTGCGGGGGGTCTCGGGGAATGCGTGTGGGCAATGGCGCAACTTTGCATCACGGAGGAGGCCAGTGCGCATCCGCGATCGTGGCCCCGGTCTGCGCCGCTCGTCCTCCCAGTTCAGGCAAAGTGTTCCCGGATTTGCATCTCTGGGTGTGGCGTCAGCGTGGGCTTTAAATCAGAGATAAACACATAAACTGGTTGTAGTTTGGGGTCCAGGGGTGTGCGTGTGTGTGGGTGCGTGCGTGTGATCGGGGTCCAGACCTGACCATGTGAGGCCCGGGTGGGGTATGGGCAACTTTGTGGAGAGAGTGAAGGGCAGAGGCTGAGGCTGGATCTGTCGCAGTCCCAGCTGTTTCAGAGGCAGCTGCGGGTGGATGTGATGGAGAGAAAGGCAGATCCCGTCAGACCTCCGAAGCGAAGCAGCGTAGGGCCTGGTTAGTGCTGTGATGGGAGACTTATGGGAACACCAGATGCCACAGTGGGGTGGCTGTAAAGGTGCCAAGCTGTTGTTGTGTCCTTGGGCAAGACACTTCACCCACATTGCCTGGAATGAGTCTGTTGTGTGAATGGTTGGTGGTGGTGGGAGGGGCTGATGGCACAGACTGGTTGCTCGCTTCTGTCGGTTTGCCCCAGGGCAGCTGAGGCTACAGTAGTAGTTTACCTCTGTGTTTGGAGTGAAAGAAAAATTACATGTGAAGCATTTGAGTGTCCAAAAAATAGCTGAATGGCTGGTTTTATTATCAAAAGAGAAGGCTCAATGTGTATTTTAAAGCTTGTTTCATTCTGCTGCTGCTGCTTGAGGGCTCACATTGTTATAATAATAATAATAATAATAATAATGCGTTAGTTTTGCACATATACTGTTTTGGACGCTCAGACGCTCCATGTCATTCATTCACTCCAAACACAGAGATGATAAACTCCTACTGTCGCCACAGACACTGACAGAAGCAATCAGTCTGTGCCATCAGCCGCTCCCACCACCACCAACCATTCACACACACACACACACACCAGACTCATTCTAATGTGGGGGAAGTGTCTTGCCGAAGGACACAACCACAGTTTGGCACTTTACAGCCGCAGCCGCCCCACTGTGGCACCTGCTGTCTCCCATCACAGCACTAACCACCATCCCTGCCCTGCTTAGCTTCAGAGGTCTGATGGGATCTGGCTTTCACAGAAATTGAAGCTGATTTTTTGTTTCTAGTCATGACAGAATGAAGCGACAGAGAAGCAACATTGTAACATCAGATTTACTTCTTCGTGATTTTCTAAACTGCAAAAAAAACACGGATTTATTTGAAAATGACGTGGAACAGATGTGAAGCCGTTTACTTTATGACTTCAGTTTTTTGCACAGTAATACAGACAGTACATGTCCGGGGCTTATTTTTAATTATCAATGTTTCAATTCAATTTATTTGTGTATTGCCCTAAATCGCAACAGCAGTCGTTTCGAAGGATTGTTGTTGATTCACCATTAACAGATCAGAAAATCAAACACAGTAAATACAATGATTCCAACACATAGAAGCCATTGGTGCAAAAGGATCGGGACGACCACTGTCCAGAAATGTTCTTAAATGTCCTGGATCATCACTGTCCTCAGACCCTCCTGAATCAGAACAACAACAAAAACCAGTGAGAAATGTTTTTGGAAACTTCTGGAAGGCCCATATTGAGAGATTGTGCCTTACCCAAGGACGCACAGGCTGTAGACCCAGGACTGAGGCTGTAGACCCAGGACAGAGGCTGTAGATCCAGGACTGAGGCTGTAGACCCAGGACTGAGGCTGTAGACCCAGGACTGAGGCTGTAGATCCAGGACTGAGGCTGTAGACCCAGGACTGAGGCTGTAGATCCAGGACTGAGGCTGTGGATCCAGGACTGAGGCTGTAGACCCAGGACAGAGGCTGTAGATCCAGGACTGAGGCTGTAGACCCAGGACTGAGGCTGTAGATCCAGGACTGAGGCTGTAGACCCAGGACTGAGGCTGTAGACCCAGGACAGAGGCTGTAGATCCAGGACTGAGGCTGTAGACCCAGGACTGAGGCTGTAGATCCAGGACTGAGGCTGTGGATCCAGGACTGAGGCTGTAGACCCAGGACTGAGGCTGTAGACCCAGTGGCAGGACGGTGGAGGCTTTTCAGTTCTTCATTCCTTGACTTTGTCTCTCCGCAGGTGGACATGGTCGACACCTTTTCAGTCTAGCACTTTTCCTCTAAGCCTTCCCCCATGTCCCTGACTCACGATGATGAATACAGTTAAATCCAGTGGTCTCAGAATGCCGGGCCGGGCTCCCAAACATGCCACACAGATGGGGAGGACAGGGGGCTCCTCCAGTCCTGTGATCCCAAAAGAAAGTAAGTGCTTTATTTTTTTATTCTGACGTATTTTGTCTCTGTAAATATTTGCCTGACGACTGGAGGACAGAAGCTCTGTGTCTATGGTGCATATGTGTAGTTCTTTGTAGGGCTGGAGGTTAAAATACATCTCAATTCTATTGTCAATATGCAATATATATATATCGATATTTTTACAGGATAAATAACCCCACCCACCCCCCCAAAAAAAATCCAGAACTCTTTTTTTTCAAAGAGGAGTCGGTTCAAGTAGGAGCAAAGTGCTTCTGTCACATGTGTATTTCTGTTTTACTTTCTTGATCACAAAAATATAATTTAACTGTGAAATAAATGAAAAATTATACGCATTGTCTTCACTTCAAAAATAAAACTACTCAGCTCAATTTGCTTTCTGAGTGCGTGTGTGTGTGTGTGTGTGTGTGTGTGTGAATACCACTGTCTTTGTGCAAAGCTGCTCCCACCTGAAGCTAATGCTAATGAAAACAGCTAGCGTTAGCGACTGTGGTAAAGAAATTGTGAAATTGGGTTGAAAACCTACAATAATCACAGAAACAACAGTTAAAACGGCCGTAAATGTAATGCCCCTGTTCAGTCTGTAAATCTTGGTATTTTGTTTGGTGCAAGAGTATAAGAATGAATTAATTCACAGTCGCATGAAGCGCTTGGATCTTATTGATTCATTGTTTTGTTTTAAAGCTGCAGAGAAAGAATCTATGTCCAAATTGCTCTCATGTTTTTGTGTAACTTTGATCTCGGGTTATAACATTCAGGATGACTCTTCCTTCTTGCCTTTGAATGCGACTGTCAGCAATGCTCCTCAGACCAATCCAATCAATCTTCCATCTCGGCAATCCACTGAGAAAACTAATAGTGAAAGTGCTTTGTGTAGAGTCTTGATTTAGAGAGATGGTCCTATTGGAGGATCTTTGAGTGACGGCGTTGTTTATAGTTCTTCCGCAACGGTCACGTGACTTGGTGACAAAACAGCAGTGAATGCTACCTGGATGCTAGAGAGTTAGCTAGTTTAGCACGTTTGGAGAGAGGTTTTACTAAACCAAATGATCCACTCTTGTGTGGTCGGTCGTACTGGGGATAGATAAAGTTTTTTTTCCGAATTCCTTTTCGAAGAGAACAGGGAAAAACATGAGAAATGGTTGCGGGCGATCAGGAGAATGGATGCTCAGAAGAAAGTGTGGATTCTTGGATCAACAGAAAGAAAAAGTTACCCAGTTGTACTGACAGAGCGAGGGATCACCCACAGCAGATGTGAATCCTGAGGTGACTCGGTCTGACCTCAGCTTTCAACACTATCACAGACTTCTGTTTGACGGGCAAAACAAGGCTCAACCTTTCTAGAAACGGGCCTCGAGCTTTTAACTTTTCATTCGTGAAGGGTCCCAGGTTTTCTATGAAGTAAGGATAAATATCTCGCAGATCAGTATCTTGACAGAGGCGAGTCTGACCAATGTTTGTGGTCATCCCAGGCCTCATCTGGGCTTTGGATTGGTTCAGTTCAGTCTCTAACACATGGATGATATCATTGGTATAGAGTATTTCTACTTTACCCCGTCTTGCACAAAAGAGACTATATTTTAACCTTTTTAACATGTTTGCACACTTCCTGTCTTTTTGCACACCCTGAGTGATCCCATCAATGCCACATGTGAGATCCATAAAGATACTGGTACTGCAGCCCACAGACCTCAGTGTCACTAAAACAACTCAACCTCAGAGACAGAACTACAGCTTTCACACACAGGAGGAATCTGGGAGGATTTAACTGTCCATGTTCTTCCTCAACTGTTTTTCTTGCAACTCTGCTCATAAGAGTAAAGACACTTATGATATTTTTGTTGCACAAAATACATACTATATCTTCACTTTTTAACATGTTGCACATTTAGTCTGAAGGATTTTATTGATGCCAAATGTGAAAATGTCTTCTTTGTGGGATCAATAAAGTTCATATTTTTTAATCTTAATGCCGTTTCTCACTCCGGCCACAGACGCTCCACTGAAGTCCACAACACCGACCAAATTCTCGGAGGAAGGAGATGACGTTTTGGGCGATTACGCGGTGGGGGAGTCCGTCTGGGTCAACGGCGTCAAATCTGGGACCATCGCGTACCTGGGAGAGACGCAGTTTGCCCCGGGACAGTGGGCGGGGGTCGTGCTCAGCGATCCCGTCGGCAAGAACGACGGCTCTGTCGGCGGCGTGCGGTACTTCGAGTGTCAGGCTCTGCAGGGCATCTTCACCCGGCCGTCCAAGCTGACCCGCCAACCTGCAGCGGTGAGCCACGCGCACTGGACGCACATTCACTACATGTCAGCCTCGAGTTTAGATAATCTGAAGTACAGCCAGGGCAGAAGTGGCGGCTGGGTTTTGATGCTAATGTGGTTAAGCTAGCTGCATTTTGTGTAAAATTGTTCTCCACAAATGCAGCGTTTCTGTGTCGGAAACTTTCAGAGACTTTATATAACAGCAGTTTGTGTTCACGGAGGTGCGCCATGGTTTTCTTAAAGCTGCACTAACTGACTTTATTTTCGTATTCATTCCGAAAATGCTATCCATGTCCATGCAGTGCATTGGGATATACGTCCTTTTGAAGAAAAAGTAGCGCAGGGTTGTGCTGCCGTGACATTATATTTTAGATCGAGTTTTGATGAAACAAGGAAGAGAATGTGTTTCGGGACCAGATTGTGACCAATCACAGCGGACCACTGGCCCCCACTTTCGTGAGAAATCTACAAGTCTTGTTAGCACAGACGGCTGAGTTAGCACAACAAGTGGCAGAGCTAACCTGAAACTTCCTCGTCTTTGTCACCGGTTACTGCTTACACAGAGAGACAGCCATCCAAGAGAAAGTGTCGTTCCTCCGCACTTCCCGGTTCTATCGTTCTATGGTCACACCATCCACGTGCAAATCCATATCCATGTATTATCCATATTGGGAGACACTAGCTCCGTCAACAACAGTGGGTGTGTGTGTGGGGCGATAGCTTCGTGGGTGCGGGGAGGGGAGCAGAGAGAGAGAGGCCAGCGAGTCCACAGCTTCAAAATCCCAAAGTCAGTTAGTGCAGCTTTAATTTAGTATTTAATAACCAGCATCAAAAACACATTAGCAGCTCTTGTTTACAGTCACGGGAGAAGGAGAACTCAGGCTGGAGGCATATGTTCACAAGCACAGTGTCCCCATCGCCAATCCTGGTTTAGTCCTGGTTTAGTTCTAATTTAATCCTGGTTTAGTCCTGGTTTAGTTCGGATTTAATCCTGATTTAGTCCTGGTTTAGTTCGGATTTAATCCTGGTTTAGTCCTGGTTTAGTTCGGATTTAATCCTGGTTTAGTCCTGCTTTAGTTCGGATTTAATCCTGGTTCAGTCCTGGTTTAGTTTGGATTTAATCCTGGTTCAGTCCTGGTTTAGTTTGGATTTATTCCTGTTTAGTCCTGGTTTCGTGCTGGTTTCGTCCTGATTTAGTCCTGATTTAATCCTGGTTTAGTCCTGATTTAATCCTGGTTTAGTCCTGATTTAATCCTGGTTTCGTCCTGGTTTCGTCCTGGTTTAGTCCTGATTTAATCCTGGTTTAGTCCTGATTTAATCCTGGTTTAGTCCTGGACCGCTGGTGAGCCCGTGACCACTTTTCTGCTCTCTGATTGGTCGCCGCACGTGTGGCCGGCAGAAAAAGTTCGACATTGTTTATCTCCTGCTTTCGCTGCGTGCATCCGGTCCACGTACCCACCGCCTCGACAGCGCCGCATCAGCCGCATCAGCCGCAGGACAAATCTGCGGTGACGCACAAGCAGTTCCGCGCGTCACCTTTGACTTTGCATTGAAACTGGACACAGCGCAGGATCCGGTCTGAACGCCGCTTTAAAGCTGGGGGGCCTGACTTTCCAACCACAGTAGATGGAACAATGAATTCAGTTACATTTATTGTTGTATGGCCCCAAATCACAACAGTACACTGCAAAAAGTGATGATAAAAAAGTCTCAAATTTGAGCACATTAAATGGGACCAAGCAAAATTATTTTGTTTTAAAAAAAGATTCAGAAATGTCACCCTTGGAATGAGAAAATAAAGTAACACTTTTGTCCCATACGGTTTTGTCCCATTGGAGATTGATGTCAGATTAAGATTAAAAACCACTTGATTCAAGCATTTATTACCTCATATTTTATCTTCTTTTGCAGTCTCAATTCAAAAATATTGTACAAATATTTTAAACATATTTTACATACTAGAAAGTAATGCACACGAGGAGAACTGTAGAGGCTCAGATTCCTCATCCTTTTGACGTTTATGTGATTTAACCTGATCTCACGTGAACCTATTCCATGGATATTTTTTGCCGCCAATACATATGAAAAGTCAGAACTGGTTTAACGGGATTACGATGCAGTCAGATTGATAATTTGTCCTAATCTCTCTGTGTGGGATTGTGTGGTCGGTGCAGGAGGACTCCGAGAGCACGGACGGGACCGCAGGCCACGCCCCCTCCACTCGGGTCGTGCCGCTCAGAGAAGGCCTCCTCAACAGCGCGGTGAAGCCGGGCAACGAGTCCGGGTCCAACATGTCCGACAGCGGCTCCACCAAGAGGGCGGGCGAGAAGGACCTCCGGGTCGGGGATCGGGTTCTGGTGAATATTACATTTCTCACATAATTAATAAACAATGTGAAATACTGCACTGGTGACGAAGCGGACTTTTAACTCACATCCTGACGTTCAGCGACGCGAGCGATACAAAGTGATTAGAAAGATATACATTTTTCTTGCTTTTTTCTGCCTGAGATGTTGCTGCAGTTCAGTGTTCATGGTTTTACACTGGTCCAGACCAGAGCAGAGAGGATTCATGGTTTTACACTGGTCCAGACCAGAGCAGAGAGGATTCATGGTTTTACACTGGTCCAGCCCAGAGCAGAGAAAATGGTCCAAACCAAGCGGCTCCTGCTGCTGTGACCTGAAGGACTGATGTTATTATTACTATTGTTAGCTTTTCAGAGGGATCAATTTTAGTTTTATTTTTTGCTGCGACTGGACACCTGAATTTCTTGCAGTAAGTGATGTCGCACAGTCCAGCGTTGACGCCGACCCTTGATAAAATCTCTCGCTTTGTCTCTTTATGGTGTTCTGTTTGTTAACTTGATCTGACCTGCAGAACGAACATCTAAAAGACTTGGAGTGGATTCTTGCTTTAATGTATGTTTGAGCCGTCAGATTGACTGTTTGAGCCGTCAGATTGACTGTTTGAGCCGTCAGATTGACTGTTTTAGCTCTCAGATTGACTGTTTTAGCTCTCAGATTGACTGTTTTAGCTCTCAGATTGACTGTTTTAGCTCTCAGATTGACTGTTTTAGCTCTCAGATTGACTGACGCGTGGCTCGTCCTGTTTAAAGTATGTGAACCGTGCAGAAAAGCTGACGATGGTCCTTTTCCGCAGGTGGGAGGTTCTAAAATGGGAGTGATCCGTTACATGGGGGAGACGGACTTTGCTAAAGGAGAGTGGTGCGGAGTCGAGCTGGACGAACCTCTGGGCAAGAACGACGGAGCTGTGGCGGGGACACGGTGAGCCGCTGGTCTTGGTTATGGTCCAGGGTCTGGGCCCTGGTCCTGGTCCTGGTCCTGGGTCAGGAGAGGTCTGAGAAGACTGTGTGTCCAATATGCTTCATGTTATGGTTCATGACTCCTAAACAACATGTTTGAATATTTCATTTAGATGTTTTGATGTATTCAGTTCTGGTGAAATACCCACAGAGGCACATGTCAAATAGAAGCTTGAGACTGAAGATTATTTTAAATTATAAGATTAATTAAATTAAATGTGTGTATTGCACTAAATCATAACTGTAGACGTCAAACAATTGCAATACTAACGAACACACAGGAGCCCCTCCAGAAGAGGAAGCACTCAAAATATAAAAACAGTGCAAAAAAAGTGATAAACCTTGGGAAGGCCCACATTGAGAGAGGGATCCACTCCTGTGGACGGACAGGCTCCAGACCCAGGACTGAGGCTGTAGATCCATGACTGAGACTGTAGATCCTGGACTGAGGCTGTAGATCCATGACTGAGACTGTAGATCCTGGACTGAGGCTGTAGATCCAGGACTGAGACTGTAGACCCAGGACTGAGGCTGTAGACCCAGGACTGAGGCTGTAGATCCTGGACTGAGGCTGTAGATCCAGGACTGAGACTGTAGACCCAGGACTGAGGCTGTAGATCCAGGACTGAGACTGTAGACCCAGGACTGAGGCTGTAGACCCAGGACTGAGGCTGTAGATCCTGGACTGAGACTGTAGACCCAGGACTGAGGCTGTAGAACCAGGACTGAGGCTGTAGATCCAGGACTGAGGCTGTAGACCCAGGACTGAGACTGTAGACCCAGGACTGAGGCTGTAAGTCCAGGACTGAGGCTGTAGATCCAGGACTGAGGCTGTAGATCCAGGACTGAGGCTGTAGATCCTGGACTGAGGCTGTAGATCCAGGACTGAGGCTGTAGACCCAGGACTGAGGCTGTAGACCCAGGACTGAGGCTGTAGACCCAGGACTGAGACTGTAGACCCAGGACTGAGGCTGTAGACCCAGGACTGAGGCTGTAGACCCAGGACTGAGACTGTAGACCCAGGACTGAGGCTGTAAGTCCAGGACTGAGGCTGTAGATCCAGGACTGAGGCTGTAGATCCAGGACTGAGGCTGTAGATCCTGGACTGAGGCTGTAGATCCAGGACTGAGGCTGTAGATCCAGGACTGAGGCTGTAGACCCAGGACTGAGACTGTAGACCCAGGACTGAGGCTGTAGACCCAGGACTGAGGCTGTAGACCCAGGACTGAGACTGTAGACCCAGGACTGAGGCTGTAGACCCAGGACTGAGGCTGTAGACCCAGGACTGAGACTGTAGACCCAGGACTGAGGCTGTAAGTCCAGGACTGAGGCTGTAGATCCAGGACTGAGGCTGTAGATCCAGGACTGAGGCTGTAGATCCAGGACTGAGGCTGTAGATCCTGGACTGAGGCTGTAGATCCAGGACTGAGGCTGTAGATCCAGGACTGAGGCTGTAGACCCAGGACTGAGACTGTAGACCCAGGACTGAGGCTGTAGACCCAGGACTGAGGCTGTAGACCCAGGACTGAGACTGTAGACCCAGGACTGAGGCTGTAGACCCAGGACTGAGGCTGTAGACCCAGGACTGAGGCTGTAGATCCAGGACTGAGGCTGTAGACCCAGGACTGAGGCTGTAAGTCCAGGACTGAAGAGGCTCCCAGTCAATCACCGTTTTACAAGCAGAACTAACAAATATTTGAATGTGTTTCCTACAACGGTTTGTCTGTTTTGTTTCCAGATATTTCCAATGCCTTCAAAAGTTTGGCTTGTTCGCTCCGATCCATAAAGTGATCCGTATCGGGTTCCCGTCCACGAGTCCGGCCAAAGTGAAGAAGAGCAAGCGGATGGCGATGGGCGTGTCCTCTCTGGCCCACAGCCCCAGCAGCTCCTCCATCAGCTCCGTCAGTTCCGTGGCCTCCTCTGTGGGGGGCCGTCCCAGCAGAGCCGGACTGGTATGACATTTATTCTAACATTCTTTACCACAGCGGTCTCCAATCTTTTTCCAACAGAGAGATACTATTTTAGAATCAGAATCAGAACCATTTTTATTGCCACGTAAGTAACAAGAGGTCACAGACTTGGAAATTGCTTTGGCTCAGTGCAACAGTCAGAGAGAGAGAATAAAAAATAAAGAATAAAAAACACTTCTAAGGAATAAATTTAAAATTAAAATAGAGTTACAATTACTATATACAATTGCACACAATGTAAGGTGACAGCAGTACAGTGAAGTAAAGTGACGTATGATGGGCAGTAAAGTGACTTTATAAAGGGCGGGGGGACAGGTTAAGAAGTGTTCAAGAGTCCAACAGCAGAGGGGAAGAAACTGTTCTTGTGGCGGGAGGTTCTAGTCCTGATGGACCGCAGTCTCCTGCCTGAGGGGAGTGGTTGGAATAGTCCATGTGCAGGATGAGAGGGGTGTTGTGGAAATTTCCTTAATGATCCATGGAAACAGAGTTGCATTTTGTGTGGTTTAATGAAAGTAAAAGTACATGATAAGAACAAGCATTTGCAAATGGAGAAAGCTTCTGCAGTCCGCTCCTCGGACCAGTCAGATCAGTCTCTCTGCCACAAAATGGGATTCACACAAGCTTTATCAGGATGGTCCGGTCCCTCATTGGCCAATGGCCACAGGAAAAACACATGTCACACCGCTGCACTGATTACATGAAAATAGGTAACTAAAGGTGGGAAGAGCAGAGAAACAAGGGGGGGTTAAGGGGGTCGAAAGGACAGGGGCAGAGGACACAGGAACAGGACACTGTCCCAGTCCAAGATCACATCATCCACATGATAAGGGAAACAGTCACATCAAAGGAGACGGTCAATCACTGTCTAATAACTAAACTCACTAACAAACTGCATATTATTAAATAAAAAATAAAAATTCTGAACTCTCGCGCCGCTGACCCCACTTTGGGAGACACTGTTTTAGATAGATACTTTATTGATCCAGTGTGAGAGAAATTCAGGTCCAGAAGCAGCAGAAACACATCCATCCACACAAACAAAACATATCCAAACATCATTCTGAAAGTAGCTAACAATAATATTAAAACGCCACAGCTCTTTAGGTCACACATACGCAGGCACGGGGAGAACAGGTAAACTCTACTCAGAAAGACAGGGATTCGAACCCAGGACCTTCTTGCTGAGAAGTGAGAGGGCTGGGACTCTGATTGCTCTGGTCTGGATCAGTGTAAAACTATACACACTGCAGGAACGTTTACAGATGGAATAAAACAAGAAAAGTGAGGATTGTAAAACATTAAACAACTGTTTCAGAGACACTTTGGACTCGCTGCAGTTTCCAGTGAATTCAAAAGTAAATGGAAATGGGTGTTTTCAAATCCCAAAATAATCTATGTTTTCTGTCAAAAGGCATTAATTAAACTCTTTTCCAATACTTCTTTAACTGATAACAGTAGTTCAGAGATATTTGAATTTCTAAATTACTTTTCCAGCCCCTAAATCTTGTTATTGTTTTCATTTCGATGTCCCGCCCTCCACCGTTTCACCAATCAGAAAGTCTGTGATCCGGGCGCCAGAACTCACCATGTGGAGCTAATCTCACTGGTAAAGTACCATGTGGCGCAGAACTAAAAAAGGTCTCGTTATGATTCTCAAATCATTAACAACAAAACAAGGAATAAAACCAGGATTTCTATCTTTGTGAAAAAGGTGTTGGTTATAGATTTATTGTTGACAAAACTCTTGTCTATTCAGCTGTTATGGTCCCAGCTGGATTAGTCTGCAAATCTGGCAACCTGAGTCAAGGACAGTGGGAGAGGCTGCAGTACCACTTTTGGCCAGATGTGTACATACTGCTCCTTTAATAGCCACATTGTGTCTCTGCCTTGTCCCCTGCAGCTCACAGAGACCTCGTCCCGTTACGCTCGGAAGATCTCTGGGACCACGGCGCTGCAGGAGGCTCTGAAGGAGAAGCAGCAGCACATCGAGCAGCTCCTGGCAGAGAGGGACCTGGAGAGAGCCGAGGTCGCCAAGGCAACCAGCCACATCTGTGAAGTGGAGAAGGAACTGGCCTCTCTCAAAGCCACCCACATGCAGGTACGAACCCCCAGCCTGCTCCTACCACACCATGGTACTCATTTCATTTGGTACTAAGGTCTGGATTTGCTCCATGACTCCGTTAACAGGTGGGAGGAGTTAACTCTTTTTGCAGAATGAAACGATTGGATTTGAGTTTACAGTGACGAATGTAATGAACCCGAGTGAGTGAGGCAGTTAGCATTAAGCCTAGATTTAGCATTTAGCCTAGCTTTAGCCTTCTCCTTTTCCACTAACAGAGCCCGTGGGGAGTAGAGCCACAACATCTTTGCCTCAGTGACATTTACTAAACATTCCTCTTGCTCCGGCTTCAGTTTCTTGATATTTGGATTGAACCAGAACAGATTATTTTACTATCACATTCTCCGACAAACTACAACGTGCAAATTCAGCTCAAACTCTTGACGTCACAGAGACATTACCTTAGAACCCGCTTTGGGACCACGGCTGAAATGTAGCAGTTATGCTAATTCCGGCGCATTTACACCGGACTTAATGAACTCGATGAACAAGTCTATGCTTTTTGATTTGATTTTGTGGATTTGAGCAAAAATGATACATTCAATATCATTGTACAAGTATTTACAATATTTACATTCCTCATTTATTTTGTTTATGGAGATACTTTTGAACATAGTTTTGTTGTTTACTACACAGATACACATGTACACACACATAGTTTCACCGTGAGAACCTTCACCTTTCATGAAGATGAAGATGAAGAGATCCACAGACGTTTCAGACCTGAGCAAATGTCAGAGAAATGAGGTTCTGCTTTTGTTTTAATTCCAGTACGTAACGGGGAATGAAGAAACTCTTCAGCAAATCCAGTCTCTCCTGTCGAGCACTCAGAAGGACAAACTGGAACTGATCAACCAGCTGGAAGAAGAGAAAAGGTACGACTCACAGGGATCAGGCCCAGGACGGAGTCTGCAGGGAGCTTCACCTTTGCCTGTGACTTTATTTACATATTAGGTTATTTTAGGGCTGTCAAAATTATCGCGTTAACTCACGTTAATTACATTTTTCATTAACGCGTAAAAAAAAAATTAACGCATGTCCGAATGACCCGCCCATTTATCCATAATATAATAAAGACCTGGAGGTGGTATCGAACCCAGAACCTTCTTGCTCTAACAGTTAACCGCTGCGCCACCGTGCGCTTTAGGGGTTGTCATGACTACGGACACCAGAATATATGGTGTAGACATTACCCTGTTTTTAAGATATTTAGTCGCTCTGGATTTTAAGTCTCACCAGCTGAAAATGCATAATAAAGAAGGAAAAGTTTTAATGCTCTGGTCTGGACCAGTGTAAAACCATGAATCCTCTCTGCTCTGGTCTGGACCAGTGTAAAACCATGAATCCTCTCTGCTCTGGTCTGGACCAGTGTAAAACCATGAATCCTCTCTGCTCTGGTCTGGACCAGTGTAAAACCATCAACACTGAACTGCAGCAACATCTCAGGCAGAAAAAAGCAAGAAAAAAACCGTGTCGTTCAGCTCCAATACAGACCTAGGTAAAGTTCAGAATGTCAAGATTTCAGCTGTTATCTTTTGTGCGTTTTATTTCTGCCGTTTGTTTTTGATTGTGTCACAAAATTCTGTTACCGTTGCTTTGGTAGCTGATGAGATTGTGGTCATTTGTCATTCAGCCAATTTCAGCTCTGTCTTAGATATTTATTTATGAATCCAGTTAAAGCAGTTTTACGATCCGGGCCCTGGATTGTAACTAAAGTGACCCTCTTGCTATAAAGTTTGGACGCCCCTGCTTTTCCCTGTCACCCCGAGTTGGAGAGTTACAATCTTTATTCACAGTAAATTGACCTAATCTGTACAGAGATTTTGATGAACAGAATCAGAAACGCTCCTCGCTGAACCATGTGGGGACTAGATCTGTGATGGTTCTGTGTTTGGACTCTCAGGAAGGTGGAGGACCTGCAGTTCCGGGTGGAGGAAGAGTGCATCTTTAAAGGAGACCTGGAGGTAAGCAAGGAGCTGGATCGACTACAGAGAGACTGGACCCGGACTGGAACTGGATCAGGACTGGGACTGGACTGGATCAGGACTGGATCAGGACTGGATCAGGACTGGATCAGGATTGCATCAGGATTGCATCAGGACTGGATCAGGACTGGATCAGGACTGGATCAGGACTAGATCAGGACTGGATCAGGACTGGATCAGGACTGGATCAGGACTGGATCAGGACTGGATCAGGACTGGATCAGGACTGGATCAGGACTGGATCAGGACTGGATCAGGACTGCATCAGGACTGGATCAGGACTGGATCAGGACTGCATCAGGACTGGATCAGGACTGGGACTGGACTGGATCAGGACTAGATCAGGATTGTACCACAACTGGACCAGGATTGTACCACAACTGGACCAGGATTGTACCAGCACTGGATCAGGACTGGATCAGGACTAGATCAGGACTGGATCAGGACTGGATCAGGACTGGGTTAGGACCGGATCAGGACTGGATCAGGATTGTACCACAACTGGACCAGGACTGGATCAGGACTGGATCAGGATTGTCACACAACTGGACCCGGACTGGATCAGGACTGGATCAGGACTGGATCATGACTGGACCAGGACTGGACCAGGACTGGACCAGGTCTAGATCAGGACTGGACCAGGACTAGATCAGGACTGGACCAGGAATAGATCAGGACTGGACCAGGACTAGATCAGGACTGGACCAGGACTGGACCTGGTCTGTCTATTTTTATGTCTGTCTAAAGGGGACTAGCTCGCTGCCATTTCTGTTCTCCAAACTAAACATGTTTGGGTGTTGATGATCAGGGCATAATCCAGTTTGAGAAGTTTAAGACGGGAGTAGGTCATCTGGATTTGAACATAATCAGAGAAGAACACGGTCTTCCATTTTCAGGAAGACTGTTCCTGATTTTAGCTGCATGAACTTTAAATGCTCTCCATGTTTTGTCCTGACTCTGGGACCAGCAGGAGGCTAGTCCCTGTGCTCCTCAGGGTCCCAGCAGGAGGCTAGTCCCTGTGCTCCTCAGGGTCCCAGCAGGAGGCCAGTCCCTGTGCTCCTCAGGGTCCCAGCATGAGGCCAGTCCCTGTGCTCCTTTAAGTCTATCTATCATTTCTCGTGTGTCGTCAGCAAACCACAGTGGAGGAGCAGAGCCGCATCAAGCTGCTGGAGAAGGAGCTGCGAGTGAAGAAGGCGGAGATGGAGGCGCTCCAGGCTCAGCTCCGGATCCACCGCTCTGCCTCAGACCACAGCGAGCAGGAGGAGCAGCGCACCGGCTCTCCTCCGGGAGGCGCACACGAGCTGGAAGGCCTCCGCGCTCAGGTCTGCAGACAGAACCAGGAGATCAGCGACCTCCGGCAGAAGGTGCAGCAGGCCAACAAGGAGAACCGGGACATCGTGGACACATGGAAGGTACTCCAGGTTCTTTTGTGTTTGACTCTTTGTAGTCTGCAGCTCAGAGACATATGTGAAGATTAAAGGAGCAGTATGTAAGATTTTCATGTCCAGTCCTCACTAAAGGGCCCTAATCTGTCATCACTAAAGGGCCCTAATCTGTCATCATTAAAGGGCCCTAATCTGTCATCATTAAAGGGCCCTAATCTGACATCATTAAAGGGTCCAGTGTTGGTTATAGATTTGTTGTTGACAAAACTCTTGTCTATTCAGCTGTTATGGTCCCAGCTGGATTCGTCTGCATATCTGGCAACCTGAGTCAGGGAGAGTGGGAGAGGCTGCAGTACCAGTGTTGGCCACATTTTTACATACTTCTCCTTTAACCCATTAAAGCCTGATGCAGGTAAAACAGACCTGCAAAACCTGAGGCCGACTTCAGAACCACCCTCCAAAACCTAATGTTTTCCTGAAATTCAACATCTACAGAATGATTGGTATCTCGGCCTTTGTAGCAGATAGAAACATAATTTCAAAAGATTTTGAAAGATGACATTTGTGGCTTTCAATAAGAATGTGTGAAGTGTATTATTATAAAACTTCAGTAGAAGAATATACAACTTCCACTCAGGAAAGGTAATAAAACAACCAAAAACAATGTGAGACTAACACATGTTTATCAATACAATAAGTCAAAAAGAGTTTGGCAATTAAGTGGCACTAACTCTGTGGAAAAAAATATAAATAATCCACTCTCAGCCCAAAAAGTCAAATAATGACTAACATGGCTCTTCCTAAAGTAAGCAAAATAAACAAAACACAACTGTTTTGGTTTGTTCTGTTTGATTTGGTCACAACATTTTATTTTTTGCCCAAAAAACATGCCTTGTCAATGCAAGCAAAAATTTAGGTAGCTGAGCTTTATTTTTAGTGAGTCTTGGCTGCGCTTCGTCAGGAGACTTCGGGGAGAGACGGGGAGAGACGAGGGAGGGAGCGTGTTGCACGTGCGGGTCTTCCGTCTCCCCCGTCTCTCCCTCGGTCCTGGCGTCTATGGTCCGTGCTCGGTGCATGACCCCTGTGGCTGTGCGTTCGCTGAGCGGTCGAAGCAGCCACTGTTGCTCCCGGGGTCAGAGCGGAGGATGTTCATCCCTTTCGAGTACGTAACGCAAACAACTGCCCGCAGTCACGTATTTCACCGAAATGAAATTTTCAGCGAGAAAAAGTCGGAATTCGCGGATTGCCTGATAATTCTCATCACAGGTATATCTTGATACATTTCATTGGTTCAGAGAATTGATCAATAAAGAGAGTAGGTCAAAAAAAGAAAAAAAGACGTGTCCGCTTTCCCGGCCTTAAAGGTAGAAGTGCGCATCAGCGCTCCCGGCTTGAAAGGGAGAAACGCGGGAATGCGTTCCCGGCCTCAATGGGCTACGATGAAAAGTCCCACAGCAGGGAAATTTCAGTGTTGCATCACAAATCAGCGACAGTAGGATTGAAGAAGACAAATGAACAATAATGTTACCATGGCATGTTACACTGTTTTTTTTAATTATTTCTCTACAGTAAGAAAGTGATGATTCTGGCTTCCACACGGGATCTGCAGGTGAAAACCAGATCCTGTCAGACCTCTAAAGTTAAGCAGGGCAGGGCCTGGTTAGTGCTGTGATGGGAGACCTTGAGGACCCCCACATTAGAAAGAGTCTGGTGTGTGTGTGAATGGTTGGTGGTGGTGGGAGGAGCCGATGGCACAGACTGGTTGCCTGGCTTCTGTCAGTGTGCCCCAGGGCAGCCAGACCTCAGGCAAAAGTTTAATAATTCGTGTTGTCGGCTCATGTACGATTCTGTTGAACTAAAGCGGCTAAAAGTGTATTACTATCTACAGTTCGCTCTTAGAACTATTTTTGGTCCAGTTTCATACGAACAGACTTACAAAACATTATGAGCAGTCGTCCCTTCCCATGTGGAGACTCAAGGCAAGTTTATTTATATAGAACAGTCAAAGTGCTGAACAAAAAAAGACAGAAACAATGACACAAGACAAGTTTGTGTAAGCTCTTAGTCGGACCTTACACAAGACATTAAAATCATAATGAAATCACAGTGCATTCAAGAGTACAGATTAAATCCTTCAGTTATTACGGCGAGAAGAAGCTTGTCTCACATTTTCAGGAAGATGGATGAACGTTCTAGCTGAATAAATCTGCTCAAACGTTCATGTTCCCCATTGCTTCCCCATGTTTAGTCCTGACTCTGAGGAGCACAGGGACTGGCCTCCTGCTGGTCCCAGAGTCTCAGCAAGAGGCCAGTCCCTGTGCTCCTCAGAGTCCCAGCAGGAGGCCAGTCCCTGTGCTCTTCAGAGTCCCAGCAGGAGGCCAGTCCCTGTGCTCCTCAGAGTCCCAGCAAGAGGCCAGTCCCTGTGCTCCTCAGAGTCCCAGCAGGAGGCCAGTCCCTGTGCTCTTCAGAGTCCCAGCAGGAGGCCAGTCCCTGTGCTCTTCAGAGACCCAGCAGGAGGCCAGTCCCTGTGCTTCTCAGAGTTGGTTCATATAGCTCTAACATGTCACAGATGTACTTTGGTGTGGACCATGGAGAGACTCTTTGGTAATGATCAACAATCTTCCTCATTCCAGGCCAAGTTCGACGTGTTGGTGGTAGAGCACCAGGCGTCTCTGGAGGAGCTGAAGGCGTCTGTGAAGAGCCAGCAGAGCGCTCCTTCAGGGGCAGAGAAAGACTCGCAGGAGGGGCTGAGGATGGAGCACCAGCTGGAGATGGAGAACCTGAAGGCCAAGCATAAAATAGAAGCTGCCATTCTGAGCAAGGAGCGAGAAGACCTGTGCTCACGGCTGCAGGAGGCGCAGAGGCAGCTGGACCATCGACTGACCGAGGGACCAGCAGAGGACCACAGCGGACATACTGCAACACACTACAGCGGAGGTACACACACTATAACACACTACAGCGGAGGTACACAACACACTATAACACTACAGCGGAGGTACACAACAACACACTACCGCGGAGATACACACACACACAGTGACGTGCGGTGAGGTTTGTGATTGGGGAGGCACTGACTTTAAAAGTCATATTTACCATCATTATCGCCAATGCAATAACATCCACAAACTTTATAAACTAGTCTAGTCTAGCTGCTGACTCTCTGATCCAAATCAAACAACATCTTTGATGCACGAGAGAGAGAACCGCGAGCAGAGAGAGAACCGCGATCAGAGAGAGAGAGACGCGAGCAGAGAGAGAGAGACGCGAGCAGAGAGAGAGACGCGAGCAGAGAGAGAGAGACGCGAGCAGAGAGAGAGAGACGCGAGCAGAGAGAGCGAGAAAGAGACGCGAGGAACATGAACTAAACAAGTCGGAGAACTCTGGAGCAGTGTTTGAGTCAGTGTTTTTCGGAGAAGCGCTGTTTGGCAGCTCTCTGGTCAGTTTTCAACATAAAACACAGAGACTGACAGACTCCTCCCCTGCGGCCGGACTAACCTCGTAGCTAAGTCCAGCGGTGTTCTCTAAGTCTATTTTATTTCTTGCTTTGATTGAAGGTCCAGTTGATTAAAAAAATCTTCAATCAAATCATCCATTTTCCAGAAAAAGAAATAGCATATTGGGCTGATTGTTTGTTAGCAACTCTGGTATGAACGTTATGCTCACTATCACCCCTAGTGGTGAGGCACAGACACTGCCTGCCTCACACCAAGCTTTTTCACATGTGTATTCTTCTCCGATCAAAACACTTAAACTAAATATAAATAGTACATACATGCGTGAAATACATTACTAAACACCATGAGAAGTTTAACAAATATTTTTAAAGCAGGATATTTGAAACAAACAGCGATATATCAACAGCACTAGCTGAGTGCACTCACGCAGTCCACTGTGAGGGGGCGATCCCGGGGGAGGCAGGAGCGCTGCCTCACCTCGTGTCTTTGAATAGGAAATACAGGATTTTGGCAATTTTGACAACAAAAATGATCAAAAATGGTCGGAACCGTGCCTAAAATACATTAAAAGCATAGGACAGTGGAAAACAAATATGTATTACAATTAAAATAATTATTTGTTTCCAATGATGGCAGGAGAGGCCTCCCCTGACTGCACGTCACTGCACACACACTACAACACACTACAGCGGACACACTACAACACACTACAGCGGACACACTACAGCACACTACAGCGGACACACTACAGCAGACACACTACAACACACTACAGCGGACACACTACAGCGGACACACTACAACACACTACAGCGGACACACTACAACACACTACAGCGGACACACTACAACACACTACAGCGGACACACTACAACACACTACAGCGGACACACTACAGCAGACACACTACAACACACTACAGCGGACACACTACAGCGGACACACTACAACGCACTACAGCGGACACACTACAGCGGACACACTACAACACACTACAGCGGACACACTACAGCACACTACAGACACTACAGCGGACACACTACAACACACTACAGCGGACACACTACAGCACACTACAGACACTACAGCGGACACACTACAACACACTACAGCGGACACACTACAGCACACTACAGACACTACAGCGGACACACTACAACACACTACAGCGGACACACTACAACACACTACAGACACTACAGCGGACAAACTACAACACACTACAGCGGACACACTACAACACACTACAGCGGACACACTACAACACACTACAGCGGAGGTAAATACATAATTATATCCTGCAGATTACGTATTTTTAACCTTAAACATGTCGCACACTTCTGTCTTTTGCACAGAGTGATTCTCTCTGTGCCAGATCTGACTTGTACATTTCTCCAGTGTGAGATCCAAGTTTATCTTGTCATATCTTAATTACATTAAAATAGAACTACATATAGATGCAGAAAAACTAAGTCATGAAGACCAAAAATGTACATGAGCTGAGTTATTACAGTAAAAGGCAAAAGGTCCATTTTGCCAGTTTTGAGCAGTTTTTGACTTATTTTTCATCACTTTATGCAGTGTGGTTCTGGTTGAGTTCATGGAATGTCCTGCTGAAAGAAGAAAGAAGCTGATAATGATAATAACAGTGTGTTTGTGTAAAGCCCTGCAGCAGGCGCTGAGTGAGACCCGGGAGGCGCTGCAGGAGGCAGAGCGGCGGCTGGAGGACAGAGACTGCGCTGAGACCGAGCTGAAGAAGAGTCTGGAGCAGAAGAGTGCGGAGTGTGAGGCTCTGCAGACGGCCCACAGCCTCAGCCTCAGCACCGTCCTCTCCCTGGAGCAGCAGCTCAGGGACCAGCAGGAGAGCCAGGTCCTGCCTGAAGACTACAACCAGAGCAGAGACACCATCCACAGACTGGAGGACGAGCTGAGAGTCACCACCAACCAGCTCCAGGCGCTGCAGCAGGAGCAGCAGGAGCAGCAGGAGCAGCAGGGGCAGCAGGGGCAGCAGGGGCAGCAGGGGCAGCAGGGGACACAGGCTGATGTGAGAAACCATCTCTTCTTTATGTTTAACAGATCCTGTATTTGTCCCACAGCAGGGAAATGTCAGTGTTGCATCACCAGGTACAGAGCAGTAGAAATGAGGAGCACACAGCACAAGATAAATGAACAATAACTCTATGAAAATAACTTTGGCATAATGAAGAAGTGAGTGTAAAATACTGTATACTCTAGTGCAAGAAATATATAGTTGTTTATTTACGTCTGTACCATAGACTGTATATATTAATGGACAGAGTCACGCCTATCTCCGCCGTTCAAACAAATGGGCCAAAAAATGTGCTCTACTGGAGCAATCCAAAATGGCCGTGAGTGGTCCCGCCCACAAGGAAATTGTGAAAAAACGCATCTGCGCATGCGTCAGTCGGCGCAGCTCCATTCATTTGAACGAGAGACTTCAAAAATTCACAGCGAGTAAACTAGAGTGGACCAAACAAATGCACCCCCCTCAGCATTGACACACATGTGGAACGGAGCTTTGGGCCAAGAGACAACTTTTGGTCCATCATGTAAAGACGTTTTCGAGAGGTAAGAAGATTCTATATGTTAGCATTGGCTAATTCTTATTCCGGGTCCGCACCAATCGGCCCGGGGTGGACCAGCATTTCAGCGTACGTCATTTTGGCCACTTATGAGCCGGGACCCGCCCCCACGGGTCTGTACATGTCCCATTCCCTCATGGGACAAAGTGACTCATTCACCTTCATCTGTTTTGACAATAACCCAGCCCTGTAGCTACTAAAACTTGATGAGTCAAACTATAAAGTCCATAAACTCTGCTCTGACTCTACAGGAATAAAAATACACATATTAGCTGCATCGCTATTTAAGCCGTAGGGATCAAAGAACTATGGAAAAGTAGCGGATCATAGTTTGGAAATTACGGTAAATGTTTTCTTCCCTCATTATTTTGATTAGATCTATTTTATTTTATGCATTTAGAACATTCCCTTCTCAAACAGTTAAACTTACTTTCCTATAACATTAATCATTTATCATACGATGGTTTAGTGAAAATGAAATAACTTTTGAGACTTAAGTATCTACAAAGAGATGAAATGATACTGAAGTGTATTTGTTCAATTCAGACATAGACTATTTTAGATTTTTTTCCCTGAAATTGCAACACAGCGAGTCTCAAGGGACTAAAACTGCTGTGCTCTGTGGCTTTGATGACCATGTAGTTAAATACACAACGTTTAAAGTGTTGGTTTTTTTAGTTAAAAAGGTTTATTATTTAAAGTAATATTTGGGCCTCCATGGTGCAAGCGTGACCCAATGAGCCCAGGACATTGATCTGACAGGAGGCAGACATCTTGGGCTTGGGTTGGTTCTGTTATGACACTTCTGCAGATCGTCACACTCTCCCTGTGTCTGCAGATGATAGAAGACCATCAGACATCGGACGAAAAGACGAATCTGAAGCAGAATCTTCAAGGTACAGACATCACTTTCTTTGACCATCACACAAGCAGAGAAACCAGAGAGAAAGCATTGACAATCCTATGAAAAATGTTGTTGGTTATCGCCTAATGTTGTGTTACATAAGGCAATAACTATTTTTTTGTTGATTGGACCGATAAGAAATGACCCACAATTAAACTAAACCTTATGCAAAAACATGGAGACTGTCAAATGTGTTAAAGGAACAGTCTGTAAAAATGTGGCCAAAAGTGATACTGCAGCCTCTCCCACTCTCCGTGACTCAGGTTGCCAGATATGCAGACAAATCCAGCTGGGACCATAACAGCTGAATAGACAAGAGTTTTGTCAACAACAAATCTATAACCAACACCTTTTTCACAAAGATAGAAATCCTGGTTTTATTCCTTGTTTTGTCGTTAATGATTTGAGATTCATAACGAGACCTTTTAAGTTCTGCGCCACATGGTACTTTACCAGTGAGATTAGCTCCACGCGGTGAGTTCTGGCGCCCGGATCACAGACTTTTTGATTGGTGAAACGGTGGAGGGCGGGACATCGAAATGAAAACAATAACAAGATTTAGAGGCTGGAAAAGTAATTTAGAAATTCAAATATCTCTGAACTACTGTTATCAGTTAAAGAAGTATTGGAAAAGAGCAGGTTTTATTAATGCTTTTGACAGATTAGGGCCCTTTAATGATGACAGATTAGGGCCCTTTAATTATGACAGATTAGGGCCCTTTAATTATCACAGATTAGGGCCCTTTAATGATGACAGATTGGGGCCCTTTAATGATGACAGATTAGGGCCCTTTCATGATGACAGATTAGGGCCCTTTAATGATGACAGATTAGGGCCCTTTAATGATCACAGATTAGGGCCCTTTAATGATGACAGATTAGGGCCCTTTAATGATGACAGATTAGGGCCCTTTAATGATGACAGATTAGGGCCCTTTAATGATGACAGATTAGGGCCCTTTAATTATGACAGATTAGGGCTCTTTAATGATGACAGATTAGGGCCCTTTAATGATGACAGATTAGGGCCCTTTAATGATGACAGATTAGGGCCCTTTAATGATGACTTGACATGAAAATCTTACATATTGTTACTTTAAGTGTGTGTGCGTGTGCGTGTGTGTGTGTTTGTGTGTGTGTTGCTGTCTTTCTGTGTATGTTGCACACTCATCGGTCCAAATCAAATGTCACCTACAGGAGACAAAATAAAAAATCTTGAACGAGGCTTGCAATCTTTTGCATTATGTTTTCAGTGCATGACATTCTGTGGTCGTTGCAGAAACCACCGAGAAACTGCTGAAAAGAGAGAAGGAGATGTCGGCTCTGACCTCACAAGTGGACGCCCTGAAGTCCCAAGTCTCTGGTAACTCTAATTACATTTTGCTGATTTTTGTTTTGCATTATTCACAACACTGGAACGATAATTATCATGTCATAGCAAACACAGACAAGCCCATCCATCTATTTTCCTCCGCTTTATCTGTTGCCGGGTGGCGGGGGCAGCAGTCTAAACAATGATTCCCAGACTTTCCGCTCCATACACACTTCCTTCAGCTTCCCCTCCCGTGTGACTGAGCTCCTCTCCCTACCTCTGAGGGAGCTACTACCCAGACACTCTGCGGAGGAGACTCATGTGGACCTCTCGTATCCGTGACCTTGTCCTTTCGGTCAGTCCCCAAAGCTCATGACCAGAGGTGAAAGAGGACGTAGATCGGTTTTCGTGTGCTGGGCTCGCAGTTCAACGTAAAAACACTAAACTATCTACGTCGAGCTGTGAACTATTTCCTCCTCAGAGGAGAGTGGTTCCCACAAGAAGAGGTTCAAATGACTCCCTCATGCATCAACATTCACACCTCTAGACCCTGTACTGCCGCCTGGTGCCACCACAGCGGGGTCATGGCCTGTCATGGTTCCATCCTGGTTCCCTCCTGGTTCCCTCCTGGTTCCCTCCTGGTTCCATCATGGTTCCATTATGGTTCCATCATGGTTCCATCATGGTTCCATTATGGTTCCCATCATGGTTCCCCTCATGGTTCCATCATGGTTCCATTATGGTTCCATCATGGTTCCATCATGGTTCCATCATGGTTCCATCATGGTTCCATTATGGTTCCATCATGGTTCCATCATGGTTCCATCATGGTTCCATCATGGTTCCATTATGGTTCCATTATGGTTCCATCCTCACTTCTTCATCTGAGGAAAATATTCACTCATATTCTGTTTAAATGAAGGTGAAATCGTTCTGAGGTTCTTTGATGTGAATCTGACTGTTTTGTTCAGCCTTAGAAGCGAAGGTCAGTTTGGGGGAGAAGAAAGCTGAGCTGCTGCTGAAGGAGAGAACACGCATCGAGGCGGAGCTGGACTCCATGACCAAGAAATCCCATGATGCATCTGGGCAGCTGGTCAGCATCAGTCAGGAACTGCTAAAGAAAGAAAGGTACTGTTTCACACTGCGCTGTTGGCCCTCGTCGCTTTGATCTCTCAATATTCTTTGGTTTTGATCACTGCAGGTAATCAATCATCATTTATTTGAATAGCGCAATTTATGTTAGCAAATAAAAACACAGATCAAAATGTATAAAAGCAGATTCATCAATATGCAACAATTCTACAAAACTATTAGCTCTATAGATCTGATCTCTCTCCCTGTGTTTAGTCCTGACTCTGGGACCAGCAGGAGGCCAGTCCCTGTGCTCCTCAGAGTTTGTTCTTATGTCTCTTACACATATGTCACAGATGTACTTTGGTTCGAGGCCGTGCAGAGACTTGTAACAATCTGCTTTAAAGTCTGAGCCACAGGTGCAGAGACCTGAGAACCTTTTAGCTCATTCCAGACTAATATCAGGGATTTCTGGCACGAATCAGAACAACCACAGCACTTTCTGGACTCTGGTGAGCGCTCTTGCGAGAAGGTCCTTGGTTCGAATACCAGTCTGATCCCTTTCTGAGTGGAGTTTGCATGTTCTCCCTGTGTCTGCGAAGGTTTCTTTTGCTGCTCTGGTTTTCCATTACCGCGAAAACCATTCGCATTAAGTAAAGACCAAGGGCATCGACATCATCAAATACAGAAGACAAAGTTAAATAATGTGTACATTGGTGATGCGATCTGGGAAAACCCGTCGGATGTCGCGCTAGCACGTTCCGAGTAAACAGTGAAAATAGGTCAAGTGTCATTTTTTTGGCTAAATTGTGTTTTCAGTAAACAATTATTATATAACGTCTTGTCTTTAATTTCTGAAAATATCTAGGTGAAATTCACTAGTTTTATAAATTAAAAATTGTGATATGTTTTGATAAACCGAACGTTACGTTACATCCTCCGCTCTGACCCCGGGAGCAGCTGCGGCCGCTGTGTGACAGTGACAGCTCAGTGAGAGCACTGCTCGGGGCTCCGAGCGCGGACCATAGACAGGCGGACAGGACCATAGACAGGACCATAAACACTTGAACAGGACCATACGCGTTAGGGTTTAATATTTTTCCCGAAAATGAGACGTATCAAATCCCGGGAAAAGACGACGCCTTTCCCGGGAAATCCCGGGAAATAGCTGTTGTTTTTAGCCCAAGTAATGTATGATATCACTCAAATATATAATCCAACAAAAGCTGCCATCTCCACTAGTATTTCACCAAGCGACTTGCTAGCTTTGCTAAAGTAGCCATAGCGTTTTCAGATGTTTTGTTGATGGGCTTTCTTCAGGAATTTCACTATTATGAGATTCTAAATGTCTGCGCAATCCACTTGTCGAAAAGTGACGTGCGGTGTGGTTTGGAGGCACTGACTTCAGCCCTGTCAGATGAACATATATAAATCAACAGAACCTACAAAGCGGCTTATTCACAATTAGTTTGGCTACAGCAGAATGTTTTCCATGGCCCGCATTGTTTGCTCAAACAAAACGCAAAAGTTCGTAAAAGGCACATTTCCAATTGTGTTATGGGTCTTACCTTAGTTATTAATGAACAGCACAGACCACTTCAGTTCAGGCCAGTTTCATGTTTAAGTCCATATAATAGTTTGAGCGCAGATATGTAATCCCCCATTTGGAAATAAGCCCAAAGAGTTTTAAAGCGTAAAACAAAACGGGTGCCACCTCCATAAACTCCTGTGTGTTCGCTGCAGCCGGCTCTCGGGGGCATCCAATTTCTAATATCAACCTTCTTACCCTTCTACTCTCTTCCTTATCATTCCTATCGTCATTGGAAGCAAAACATTACCCTAAATGCATTTTATATTATCTTAAAATGTGTTATATGTATGTTAGCCAAACCTGTTGCTGCCCTTAGCAGATGGAAAAAAAGAAAGGAGCTTTCTGATAGAATTGGACGTAACCAAATTCTGGGCTCACATGTGCCCCGTACCCTGAGGCTGGCCTCATTACAAGTCGTGGTTAAGTCGATTAAGACCCATATTTGTTGTCAAAAACACAATTTAGGAGCCATCCTCTCAGCTGTAGACATGTTGATTGTAAATGAAATATGTTTGAACTTTGAACAACAATAAACGTGCTTTATAATAGGAGCGCACTGTATTTTTTTTTTACTTTCATTTCCCGTTTCCCGTCATAACATTTCCCGGGAATCGGGAAACAGTTTTCATCAGATTTCCCGGGAATCCCGTATCCCGGGATTAAACCCTAATACGCGTATCATAGACAGTTGGACAGAACCATTGACACGCGTTCAGACAATCCCCAGCTTGTTGCAAGTGCAGGTCTCCCCCGTGTCTCCTATGCGCTCACGAAATTAAAGCTCGGGTACCTAATTTTCTCCTTGCATTAAAAATGCTTGGTGGTTGTGGATATTTATACTACATGATTGGGTAGAATAATACTGGCATTGTCTAATACATATATAATGTTCAGTAACTTATGAAAAAAAAGAGTTCGAAAAGTTTCGTAAAACAAATTCAATTCATTGAATTTTGAAATCATTCATGAGTGCTGTGTGTTTAATTGGTGCCAAAGTAACATTTGTTTATCTTTTAGAACATAGTGACTAAAATAAGTGTGTGCAATAACAGAGTAATTCAAATGTAAAATGTTATATTTGATTGTGGTGATTCTATTTAGAATGTCTAACTTTAAACCTGTTTTTCTCAGAATTCTGTTTCATAAAACCATGTGAATTTGCTGACTTCAGATTATGATAACTTTTGTTACAGAAAAAAAGGAAAACAGACTTGAAAAGAGATTGAAAGCAGCTTTAAGATGGTACGGAGCCCTGCAAGGGCCAGGGGTAAAAACAAAACAAAACTGTGCGCACAGATTGTTAAACTGTGCGCACAGATTATTAAACTGTGAGCACGGATTGTTAAACTGTGCGCACAGATTGTTAAACTGTGAGCACAGATTGTCAAACTGTGAGCACAGATTGTTAAACTGTGAGCACAGATTGTTAAACTGTGAGCACAGATTGTTAAACTGTGAGCACAGATTGTTAAACTGTGAGCACAGATTGTTAAACTGTCAGCACGGATTATTAAACTGTGCCCACAAATGCAACACGTGAGCGCTATATGCACGCATCACTTCCGGGTTCTGCGTCTGATGCGATGTCACTTCCGGCGCCGCGTCATACCCGGTCTACTACTACCGTTAATATAATAGATCCATGACTACTACTGATTACAGAGACTATTTTTGTTGTATCGTGTTTTTAGTGTGAGATGACGTCGAAAGTTTCAACGTTTACTTTTCAACGGAGACAGGACAGTACGTCTGGTTATCACTGCTGTGTTCCACGATGCTCAAATTCGGCCAGATTTAACTCTGCTTTAAGTTTTTTCACATTCCCTGGAGATGCTTTACTGCGAAAAAAGTGGATCGTGAAAATAAGAAGGGACCAGTTTAAGGTTACGTCAAACACACGGGTCTATTCTCGCCACTTTGAGGCTGAAGATATGATCCAGCCCACCACCCCACAAGGACGTCGTATGTTGAGGAAAGGTGCTGTCCCGCTGCTTTTTGACTGGAACGGGTATAGCCTCCCTGCTCCACGACCGGGTGTTTGGGAGCGAACGGAGCGGCCAAATCCTCCCCGTTTAGACCCTGAAGAGGATCCAGAGTTGGGGGTGGCCTGCTCTGACCACGACTCCTGCTCCACCACTTCTGAACCAGCTGCTCTGGATTTAGCCCTGAGCAAAGCAGCGGAGTCCCAGGCTCAAGTAGAGGCGCTCCAGAGAAGGGTCGAAGAAATGACCATCAGTTGCAGGTTCGGTCTGCAACGCTTTGCTGGCTCCGATGAAGACATCAGGTTGTACACGAGGTAAGATAGAAAGCTTTGAATAATCCAAAATGTAATAATTATTAGCATTGTAAAACAGCAAGTATAGAATACTGTATGGTGAATGTATGGTAAAATACTGTATATAGTGCAAGAAATATGTTGTCATTTGATATTGTATATTTATGATGAAGTTTTATTTAAGCAAAAATATGATTTATTTGATTGAATTCTCTATTACTAAAATATTTGATAGCTGCAGTTCTACTGGTTTATGGCCTTTTTTCCATATAAATGAGATGTTACTAACTGAGGATCTTGTGCCCCTTGCTCAGGTTTTCAAGTTATGCCCACCTGATGTCTTTCTGGAGCCAGATAGAACCAGCCTTGCCTTACATGGTGCGCGTGACCAGCAGTCAGGCAGAAACGTCTGGACAAGATGTTCGCCATGCTTTTCCAACCTCACTTCAACCCATTGATGAGTTTTTTCTTTTTATGAATTATCTAGCTTTGGATCTGGTGCAGAAGGATCTGGCTAATAGATTTTTTATTCACCAGTCCACTGTGAGCCGCATCATCACCACTTGGGCCAATTTTTTATATCAAGTGTTGGGAGCTATTGGTATTTGGCTGGATGAGGAGGCCGTACAACATTATATTATGATGTATATATTATTATATGGATGAGGTTTTCTCAGAGTACAGTGACACACAAGTCATCTTGGACTGCACAGAGCTGCGCTGTCAAACACCTGACTCCCTCTTGCTGCAAAGTGAGCTGTACTCCAGCTACAAATCGCACTGCACTTATAAGGGACTGATTGGAATGGCTCCTCATGGCGCAATCACATTCATCTCTCCACTTTATGAAGGCTGTGTCAGTGACCGGGAAATTCTCAAGCAGTCAGGCCTTGTAGCTCTGCTGAAGCCCTCAATGGCTATTATGGTGGACAAGGATTTCCTTGTGAAAGACCTGGTCCCCTGCAAAGTCCACATACCCGCCTTCCTGAAGAAACAGAAACAGCTGTCTGGAGCCGCAGTAAGGAAGACTCAGTCCATTGCCAGGCTTAGAGGTCACGTGGAGCGTGTCATCAGAAGGGTGAAGGAACACAAATTGTTCAGGACAGTGCTCCCCTTGTCTTCAACTGGAAATATTAATCAGCTTTATGTTGTTGCCTGTCTGCTTGTAAACTACGAGAACGGACCTTTAGTGAAAGCCTGGGCCAGTCCCTTTCCATAATCATCATCGGCCTCTATGGACCAATACCAATGTTTTTCTATCATTTCATGTAGTGTGTTTGATTTTCTGATCTGTGCTGTGATTTAGGGCTATGTATATGTTTGGAGAAAGCTAAGTTGTTTTTGTAGCCTTGTCCCTTTCCATAATACTTAGATACATGTTGTATCCACTTCTCTAAACCCTTGACTTAGCAAATAAATGCATTAAGACTTCTAACTAAACTATGTTGTCCTTTTACTTATGCTATTGGGCTGTGCAGAAATACACCATAATGTCCTTTATTAAATAGATAATTAGTAAATACTCGGTCTTTATTCTAATTGTAGCAAAGTGCAATTTGTGGGAGTTGTGCCCAATAAACCAGTCTATGCAGATTTGGTACCAAGCAGAACAGAAATTGATTTGTAAAATGTAATATTGTATTTCAAAAATGACACACACACAAATCAAACACTAAATCATGAACAGAAACAAAATAAGATGCACTAAATCAAAATCATGCACATCCAGTAAACACAATAACTTTGCACTACTTTTTTTTAAGACTTGTAGCATGTACAGCTAGTTAAACATTATTTTGTGTGCTACTGTCCTGTATGTGTGCTCCAACAATGAAATTTTCCCACTGTGGGACGAACAAAGGTTACCTTAAGGGAGGGTTCTCAATTTGAGGATAAATATTTGGAGATGTATGTATAAAAAAAACCAAATCACATCGCTCCTTTATGCTTAATATCACTGTGTCATCCCTGTAAATGCGCTGCACAAACATGTTGTCATTTGCACTGATGACAAAATCACACCAGGTCATGCCAGTGATGAGCAGCTGTCCCTGTATCTGCCAGTAGTACGCATGGCTCTCCTTAAGCTTATGTTGGCCATGCTGCACTGAGAGGTACTTGCAGTCAATGTAGCTCTGCACATTCGGGCATTTCAATTCGACCAAGCCCCATGTGCGTCTCTCCAGGGGATCATACACCAGCCCATCAGGTGACGCTCCGAGCCAGGGCGCATCAGGATGAATGACCAGTCCACATTGTGATAGGTTCACGTTCTTCATGGCTGCGTACTCCTTTAAAGCTCCCGCTTCCATGTCGAGCCCTCTTCTCATGATGACAGTAGGTCTTGTGCCCCTAAGGATCCTCTCAGCCAGGTTCTCTGCAGACGTAGATCCTCTAACATGGCAGACTTCCCTGAAATGAGGAGGTCACCCTTTCTCGTCTGAGACTATGCCACTCAGCTGCTGCACTTTGACCTCTGGTTGAAGCTTCAATTTGGTGACACTGGGCCAAGGTCACGTGCAGGGAGTGCAGGTGAAGCTGCTGCTGAGAGGTGGCCACAAAATGACACTCGGTTGGTGGTAGATGGTAGTCATCAAGTGGCAGTTTGGGAAAGGGTGGTGCATCCTTATGTATGCAAACACCCTGGGCTGAAGGCGGAGGGTGGTGGTAGGACAGCACGCTGCCAGCTTGCACTTTTCCAAAAGCTGAATCTACCAGTGGCTTGTCAGCAGAGATGTTCATCTGGCAGATCAATGGCAGCACATCTGGGTCAAAAGCAGCATAGTGTGCTGAAGGATCAAGTGTTGACGGTACTGGCAGTTCACCCCTTTGTAGAGCGTTGATCTAAGGAAATATGATAATTACAGTTAATGCAATTGTGCATCGGATATAATAACACAATGTGAAAACAAGTTTTCCAATTAAGGTTGCCTGCAACGGTTTTCAGAATGCAGAATTCTGCAATTTCAGATTATCATTATCTACTTTTTATCCTGCCCTATATGTGTATACCTTTACACAGATTGATTGAAGCATTTACAGCTAGCGAAGAAACACAGCAGCTACTTATATTGTATATCGTGTGTGCTCTTGCTACTGTCCTGTATGTGTGCCTCAAGTAATGCCTCAACTAATAAAAAATAAATAAAAAAATACCTTTTTTCACTTGTTGCAGAAGCTCCTGGTGTGGCCTTCATAACCACCATTGTGTCCACTCGCCCCGGCTTCACACCGGCTTCACACCCTGTAAAGTTGGTTTAAGATAGGACACTTTATTGATCTCACAATGAAGACATTTACATGAGCTATACCACATAAATTATTACCAACCATGGTTCGCGGTTTATGCCACTTTTGCTCGGTTTCAGTGCAGGAAAGAACAGGTGGCACCACAGACATCCCACTCTCACAATTATGTGCAGTCTGGTACACCAGAGCAACTATGTGGTTGCACAGTGCCTGGCCAGCCACACAAGAGCAGGAACTCCCAACAAGCACAACTGGGGTTGATTCACGGAGTGTAATCTGCAACAATAACAGAGGGTTTTAGAGGAATTGTCTTACGGTGTCATGCTTTTTTTTAATGCAATGTAAAAGGCAGCCAAGTAGGGTGAAAGTATATGTACAATTGGAAGGTTTAGAAATTATTTCTGTTTGTTTAATAACCTTTCATGAGTAATCAAAATCAGAGCTGCCAAACAAACTCTCGTCCTACTTAGCTGCCTACCAACGTTTCAGCGTGGCTTCCCCTATATTAAAAAGCATATTTGAACATGTTCTACAGAACATAGAACTACATTAAGTCCAACAGGACAACAGAACAACAGTCCAACGGGACAAAGACAAAGACAAAGTCCAACGGGACTGAACAACAGAGATGCCAGAACGATGGCCGTGACTAAGTCCTGCTCTCAGCTGGTGGGGAGCAGAGGACTTCTTCATAGAGCGGTAGCACCGGGCTCTAACTGTCACCTCGCCTGTCAGAGAATTTTTACCTGACACTGGTAATTAGAAAAACAACTTTAATCGTAACACATGTACATAACATTAGCTCGCTACGAATGGGTCATTGCGGGTATTAAAAGGCAGTCACATTAGTTAGCATGTTAGCAAGAGTTAGAGCCTGTGAACTTACCTTCAAAGTTTATGATGTGCGAACAAACATACAACTTAAACCCCTTCTCCATGAGGCTCTGTGGAGTTATCGACACACTCCTGACCAGTCGTCGGACGTCATTAACCGAGACTTTTGGGATCTCGATTAAACAACGAGTGAAATCTGCCATTTTCCGTGGTAGTTGCATAGACTGTAACAGCAGTAGACCCATAATACATCCATGAGTAGACCGGGTATGACGCGGCGCCGGAAGTGACATCTCATCTGACGCAGAACCCGGAAGTGATGCGTGCATATAGCGCTCACGTGTTGCATTCATACATCCATGGTTGCATTTGTGAGCACGGTTCAACAATCTGTGCTCACAGTTTAACAATCTGTGCTCACAGTTTAACAATCTGTGCTCACAGTTTAACAATCTGTGCTCACAGTTTAACAATCTGTGCTCACAGTTTAACAATCTGTGCTCACAGTTTAACAATCTGTGCTCACAGTTTAACAATCTGTGCTCACAGTTTAACAATCTGTGCTCACAGTTTAACAATCTGTGCTCACAGTTTAACAATCTGTGCTCACAGTTTAACAATCTGTGCTCAGTTTAACAATCTGTGCTCAGTTTAATAATCTGTGCTCAGTTTTTTTTTTTTTTTTACCCCTGGCCCTTGCAGGGCTCCGTAAGATGGTGTCAGAATCTTTAGTTGGTAAAATTTCACCATGTGATGGGTTCTCCCAGATCGCATCACATATATAAACCGCGCCTGTATACAAACCTCATCCTGTGTCTGTCAAAGAGCACCTGTGTACTTTGTGTTTGTAGAAGTCTGAATGAGCTGCGAGTGCTGCTGCTGGAGTCGCACCGTCCGCCCAGAGAGGAGCGGGACGTGTGCAAAGCAGAGTGGAAGGTCAAGGAGCAGAAACTTCAGGACGACATCAAAAGTCTGCGCGAAAAACTGCTCCTGCTGGTGAGTCCTGTACCGCTCTGGTGTTTAAGCCCAACTGGTCATGTGCCGCACCTGGTCATGTGCCGCACCTGGTCATGTGCCGCACCTGGTCATGTGCCGCACCTGGTCATGTGCCCCACCTGGTCATGTGCCCCACCTGGTCATGTGCCCCACCTGGTCATGTGCCCCACCTGGTCATGTGCCCCACCTGTTCATATGCTGCACTTGTTACATTTGAAAAGATAATAAACATTGTACATTTTTAGAATGCGGTGCTGAGGGTTTTTCATAAGGGACACATTTAATAGTTGTGGGGCTCACATAAATCTTGGTATTTGGTCTGGACAAGGTGAGCCTAACACTAGCCCTTACCGCATAAGCAGTCATGTATAAGGTATCTGCCCTAATCTTTTATTACATTTGTGTTGAAACAAATGTCATAAATGCAACAAAAAGTTCAACCATGGTTGTGTGACCATGGTTGTGTGTGCCCAGAACCAGCCGCGCTCCTCTCCGGACCATCGTAGATATAGTGTGTGACCATGGTTGTGTGTGCCCAGGACCAGCAGCGCTCCTCTCCGGACCATCGTAGATATAGTGTGTGACCATGGTTGTGTGTGCCCAGGACCAGCAGCGCTCCTCTCCGGACCATCGTAGATATTCCATGTTGGAGCCGTCGGTCCTGGACTCGGAGCTGAGCCGAATGAAGCAGAGACTCCTGAGCACAGAGGACGCTCTACGGAACGCTCTGGAACACAACCAGAGCGTGGACATGCTGGTGCAGGCCATGCGCCGCAACCCACACACACCACAGGTAAGTGACCCAGAGAGGGGGGAGAGAGAGAGAGAGAGAGAAGAGAGAGAGAGAGAGGGGTGAGAGAGTAGAGAGAGAGAAGGTAGAGAGAGGGGAGAGTGGAGAGAGTAGAGAGTGTGTGACCATGGTAGTGTGTGACCATGATCAGTGTTGTGCCAGTTCACAGCTTTTCTGAACTAGTTCAAGTTCAGTTCATACATGCTCAAAGTGAACAGTTCACGTTCAAAGTTCACATTTTTAATTCTGAACTAGTTCAAAGTTCAGTTCCTTTTACTTTTTTCGTGAGATAAATACATATTTTTTTCACACTACGAGCTATATATATATATATATATATATATATATCTCTCCTGTACACCCACAGGAGGAGAGCCTTTTGACTACAAAACAGACTAGATTTATATGGTTTTCAATGGGAGCCAAACAGAGTTGCTCCATCTCTGCTCATAAACTACAGACAGTAATGCGCTGCAGTGCGTGTGTCTATACTTTATGTCAAATGTAAACTGTGTAAACTTTGTCGCTAACTCACCCTGTGTTTTCATCACGACTCGGGCACATGTGAAAAGCACCAGCTCACAGCGCCGCACCGCAACACAGAGTCGGGGTGCGTTCACCGACAATGGAAACCGTAGGAATTTTTAGATTTCGGCGGAAAAGTGCGAGAATACAGGAGGGAGGAACTTTCTCTCGTTGCGTTTCAAAAGAGAAAAGAGATTCCAACGTTCAAAGTGATGTCTGCCGTTCATGACACATAAAATGAACTAATTCACGTTCAAGTTCTTTTTTTAAAAATGTGTTGCGTTCAGTTCAACGTTCACGAAAAAATGAGCGTGTTCAATGAACGCGTTCTTTTGAACTCGTTCACGCACAACACTGACCATGGTTGTGTGTGACTATGGTTGTGTGTGCCCAGAACCAGCAGCGCTCCTCTCCGGACCATCGTAGATATAGTGTAGAGAGGGGAGAGAGAGGGGAGAGTGGAAAGAGAAGGGGGGAGAGAGGAGAGAGGAAAGAGAGAAGGTAGAGAGAGCGGAGAGTGGAGAAAGGAGAGGGGGGAGAGAGGGAATTGAGGGAGAGAACAGAGGAGTGAGAGAGGACTATCAGACTCAAATTCTTGGTTTGGTAAAGTCTTCATATCTAGTTTAATGCCGTCCTAATAAAGTTTCTCCTTTCCTGATGTTGGAGTCCCACAGCGGGGAAATGTCAGTGTTGCAGTTACAGAACAGTAGGAAGATAAATGAACAATCACTTTAAACAAAAATAAAATATAATCTGTATCTTTAACATCATAAAGAAGCATAAAACCCTGTATATTCTAGTATATACAGTGCCTTGCGAAAGTATTCGGCCCCTTGAACCTTTCAACATTTCGCCACATTTCAGGCTTCAAACAACAAGTGGGACACAATCGTGAAGTGGAACGAAATTTATTGGATAATTTAAACTTTTTTAACAAATAAAAAACTGAAAAGTGGGGCGTGCAATATTATTCGGCCCCTTTACTTTCAGTGCAGCAAACTCAGTCCAGAAGTTCAGTGAGGATCTTTGAATGATCCAATGTTGTCCTAAATGACTGATGATGATAAATAGAATGCACCTGTGTGTAATCAAGTCTCCGTATAAATGCACCTGCTCTTTGATAGTCTCAGGGTTCTGTTTAAAGCGCAGAGAGAACCATGAAGACAAAGGAACACACCAGGCAGGTCCGAGATACTGTTGTGGAGAAGTTTAAAGCCGGATTTGGATACAAAAAGATTTCCCAAGCTTTAAACATCTCAAGGAGCACTGTGCAAGCAATTATATTGAAATGGAAGGAGTATCAGACCACTGCAAATCTACCAAGACCCGGCCGTCCCTCCAAACTTTCATCTCAAACAAGGAGAAGACTGATCAGAGATGCAGCCAAGAGGCCCATGATTGCTCTGGATGAACTGCAGATAACTACAGCTGAGGTGGGAGAGTCTGTCCATAGGACAATAATCAGTCGTGCACTGCACAAATCTGGCCTTTATGGAAGAATGGCAAGAAGAAAGCCATTTCTCAAAGATATCCATAAAAAGTCTCGTTTAAAGTTTGCCACAAGCCACCTGGGAGACACACCAAACATGTGGAAGAAGGTGCTCTGGTCAGATGAAACCAAAATTGAACTTTTTGGCCACAATGCAAAACGATATGTTTGGCGTAAAAGCAACACAGCTCATCACCCTGAACACACCATCCCCACTGTCAAACATGGTGGTGGCAGCATCATGCTTTGGGCCTGCTTTTCTTCAGCAGGGACAGGGAAGATGGTTAAAATTGATGGGAAGATGGATGGAGCCAAATACAGGACCATTCTGGAAGAAAACCTATTGGAGTCTGCAAAAGACCTGAGACTGGGACGGAGATTTATCTTCCAACAGGACAATGATCCAAAACATAAAGCCAAATCTACAATGGAATGGTTCACAAATAGACGTATCCAGGTGTTAGAATGGCCAAGTCAAAGTCCAGACCTGAATCCAATCGAGAATCTGTGGAAAGAGCTGAAGACTGCTGTTCACAAACGCTCTCCATCCAACCTCACTGAGCTCGAGCTGTTTTGCAAGGAAGAATGGGCAATAATTCCAGTCTCTCGATGTGTAAAACTGATAGAGACATACCCCAAGCGACTTGCAGCTGCAATTGCAGCAAAAGGTGGCGCTACAAAGTATTAGCGCAAGAGGGCCGAATAATATTGCACGCCCCACTTTTCAGTTATTTATTTGTTAAAAAAGTTTAAATTATCCAATAAATTCCGTTCCACTTCACGATTGTGTCCCACTTGTTGTAGATTCTTGACAAAAAAAAATATTTTTATATCTTTATGTTTGAAGCCTGAAATGTGGCAAAATGTTGAAAGGTTCAAGGGGGCCGAATACTTTCGCAAGGCATTGTACATGTTTACATCTGTACATTAGCAGCATGAGGGTCTGGGACACAGTGACTCAGGATAATAACACATCATAATCCTTTCCAACATAAAAATATCATATATATTTAAAATGTAAAGCGAACATTATTACCATATAGTGATGTCTGTGTCAGAATCAAAGATGGCGGAGTTCTTGACGGTTGTTTTGTTTATGTGCAGGAGGCTCATTCTGCAAATGGGATCCACTGTGGAGCCAACGGAAGCAAAGACGTGAGTGTTGTTCAGTATCATTCTCAGGCTGCATCCAGAAAGAACTCTGCGACATGATGCAGTTCCACAATCAGAGAGCGGGGGAGGCGGGTGTTGTAGATGTGGGGGACGTCAAGTGTTTGCGTCAAATTGTCAGGTTTTAGTTTGGCGGAGAATGCGATAGTAAAGTAATCTGCTCTGGTTCTATTAAGAAATTGGAGCAAGAGGAATGTTTAGCAAATGTAATTACTGACAACGGTTCTGTGGCACTATTCCTCTCAGGCTCCGTTAGTGGCAAAGGAGATGGCTAAAGCTTGGCTAAATGCTAATGCTAGGCTAAATGCTAAATGCCTCACTCACTCTGTCTTATTACATACAGTACGTCACAGTAAACTCAGATCCAATCGTTTCAATCTGCAAAAGGAGTTAACCCCTCCCACCTGTTAACGGAGTCAATGGAGCAAATCCAGATTTTAATACCAAATGAAATGTGTACGATGGTGTGGTAAGACCAGGCTAGGCCGTTCAGGACCAGGTGTGACCAGCTCCTGTGTGTGTTTTGCAGGAGCACCTTTGATGTGGGAGCCGAGGATGAAGATGAAGCTCGGTCGACTAACCAAAAGAGCAACTCTTCAATGCTCAAGTTTCTTACGGAGACACAATTGGAAAAATGGAACTGTGCATGTATGTCCAAACTAACGGGGCAGATTCAGTATTTCCTCCCCTCATGTTACGCCACGCGGCACAAACATGAAGGGACATTTGAATCACCGACTCATGACGTCGTCTGTGGCTTCTTCCACTGGTTTACTTTAACTTTAATCACTGGAAAATATGATGTTAATAACTTTTAATTGCAAATTATTTGTATCTAATTGAGCTCCGGAACCCGCTGGACCAAAATAGTTAGGGGCGCCATGTTGGTCAGCAGGAAGCAGGAAGTACAGAGCGGCTTCTTAACCCTTTAATGTTCACTCTTTAAAGAAAGCAATGTCACTTTTTATTTTTTCAATTTTTTCCTTTTTTTTTAACCCCTAGTTTTTTTCAATTATATCTTTACCAAAAGGTTGAGTTGCAGTTTGATGGTAAAAGTGCCTAAAACTAAGTGCTAGAGATGCTCCAGTGAGGAAGATTTAAAGGAACAGGCCACCGTTTTTACATACTGACACATGTTCTTACCTTAGACTAGTTGATATGTACCTGTGTGGTCTTTGCCCGTGCGCTCTGTCATACAAACGGAGCACAAACGCAGCCTCTTCCACATTCTGTATAGTTCCAAATTAGCTCCCGTTAGAAGCTACCAAACTCTTCCACGTGTTCCCAATTTAAATACAGTTACGTGACGTGTTACTCTACAAAGTATAGTAACACAGAAATGTAACATGTCCATTTTCTCAGCGGATAAAAAGGGGTACTATATTGTGAGGCGTAATAATACGAGGAGCGCTACGTTTGTGCTCCGTTTGCATGACAGAGCGCACGGACAAAGATCACACAGGTACATATCAACTAGTCTAAGGTAAGAACATATGTCAGTATGTAAAAACGGTGGCCTGTTCCTTTAAGTTCCAAGCTTAAAGGTATACAGGAGGATTTTCTACTTCCTGGTGGATCATCACGACTGTTGGTCCTCCCAATCGTCAATCATTCTGGTGATACTCGTCCAATAAGACCAGAGAGTTTAGTTCAAAAAGTGGAGAGGGCGGTTTCTCTCCTACAATTCGGGAAAATCCTCCTTTTATACCTTTTCATAGTAGATATCGAGACTCAAAAAGTGATTCACAAAATGATTGAAGAAAACATTAAAGGGTTAATCTCCGGCCGCCAGATGTGTTGCGCTCTCTCATATCGGCAGAGATTTGAAACCAAGAGAATAACACAAACAAGCACTTTCCTTACGTCGTCCCAACTTCAGCTCCACTAATTTAAATATATGCACCTGGTTGTGGCGCTCCGTACTCCTGGAATCCAGTCATTAACTTTATTTGTATTTACTGACATTTGTTTTTAACGGCACCAGTGTAGCTGTGAGTCAATAAAGACATATATCATACCCAATGTTAAAGCTCAGAGCAGCGTGGAGACAGTAACCGCAGTTAGACCGGCCCCTGGACAAGTCTGCTGAACTGAAGTGGCCCTCAGAGACAGAAGGCGATAACCAAGTGCTGCCATCATGGAGCCTGTGTGACCCTGGGATCCCGGAGCTCACTTGGAAATCAATATTCACTGTATTCTGGAAGTCGGTCGTGGAACAACCACAGAGAAGCTTTGTTTAGTTCTGTGCACATAGACCATGCTAACCCGCTAACCCGCTAACCCGCTAGCTCATTACATGGACTGTTTACAGAAGGACCGTGCTAATCTTTCTCTTTCTCACTCTGGCTCGTATTGATTTGCATTGAAAAGGAAACTTCCAATTTGTATCATGTTGAGCTTGAATCATCTGTGGTTTAGTGCTCTCTGTGATCCGGGGTTCTTTTGATATGGGCTATATGCACGGGGAGGCGTGATGTCATTTCCTGTTTACGCAGATCAGCCCGTTCACTTCCTGCCTATGCTATCTTATGGCATTTAGGAGAGTTTTAGTGACGTTTTTTGGTAATTAGATTGATACATTCAGCTGTGAGACTGACCCAAAAGTGTCGCTGTGCTTTCTCTCTGAGGTAGAGCTTCGTCTGTGGCCACTCAGAGCGATTTTTAAACTTTATAAAAACACAATGACAGCACAATCAAAGAGCACTGCTGTGTCCCAAAAATGCCCAGTGTCCTCACAGTTTAATTCCCGCTTGAGCATTATTCGGGAAACTCGTGTAAACCACTGCTGAACTCCAGTGAAACTCAGGCCGTTTGCCGCAAACAGGAAGTGAGTTGGGGTTGTAGCTAAAACCCGGAAGTGGTGCGTGCATACTGATTGGTCTTTGGAAATCCAGACCAATCAGGTTCCTTCTGCACACGCTAACGCTTTAGCTCGTGAGTGGTGCGAGAGGGGACAGGCCGCCTCATGATGGCTCTGGGTTGTTGCTAACCCTAACCCATATTTACATAAATTTGACTCTAAATTCATGCACAATAAGCCGGTTCAAGCTAGCTCCAAGGCTAACGCCATGAGTGACGTCAGCACTGGGTTTGTCCACTCCTTCTGCAGTCTTCGTGCTGCGTGAGAATCAGAAAAACTTAATATGATTCAAACAATTTGTGTTTTTTTTAGTGGCCATTTTGTTGTTTTCTTTTCTTTTCATGCTTCCAGATGTTACAAGTGTGGAGAGAGGAGATGAGGTGATAATATTTATTTTAAAGATTGCAAACCAAGTGTGAAGTACAAACTACACAACTGACTGATGGTAAAAGAAAAATGTGTAAAAAACCCTTTTAGGGGAATTAAAAGGGTTTTTTTGTTGTAAATATTTTGTCTGACCCTTGATCATTTGTAGCATTGTCCAGGAAAGAGAATCAGACTTAAGAATCAGAGGTCAGACGTGTGGCCTTTGTTCCAGGTGCCTGACTGTTTTTCACTGCTTCATAAAAGGCAATGTACCTGATTTCTGTCTGGAAAAACTAAAAAAGACATTTTCAGTTGTTTCTGTGGATCCAATTAGTTTTGTTATATTGGTGAATACTAATGCAAAACCTCTGGAGAGAAAAGTCCAACTTCTTATCCCAGAGCAGTGGTCTCTAACCCGCCACCCCGCTCCCCAAGTCGCTCCCCAAAGAGTTTAGACATTTCAAAGAATCCTTGAATATTTCCATGAGTTTGCTTGAATTTAGCATTTTGCATTAAAGATCTGTTTATTTTTACAGCCCAGTTCATACAGAAGGCGACTCAAGGTAATTAAAACAAGAAAAGAAACGTTAAAATCCTAAAATAATCGATAGTTTACAGTAAATACCCATAAAACAATCTAATTCCAGTCTACAGTATTGACTACATTTCTTTTGAACTGCCTAAAGGAGTTTCTCTCCCGTTTTTGTCCTAAAACCGTAGCTCTCTGTGGGAAAAAGGTTGGAGACCCCTGTCCTAGAGGATGGAGAGTTGTCGTGTGCATTTGACCCGCCCTGAAGCCCGTCTGGCCTCAGTCAGGAGCAGTGTCCATACCCCCAGGACGACCAGAGCTGGAGGGTATGACCTATTGTACATGGTTTTAGTGGGAGGCAAAACCGGAGCACATGGAGGAAACCGACACAGGCATGGGGAGAACATGCAAACGGGATTTGAACGCTGAGAAGCTAGAGGGCTAACCACTCAGCCACCGTGCCGCTCCATGAAAATGCCTTGTTAGTACTGACGGCAATCTCATTGAACCTTTTTCAGCTTTTTAATTTACAGAACAACTTCTTTTTTTTTTTATGTAATTTTGTGTAATGAGCCTCAAGATGTTGGATCCAGTGGTCCCTGGTTCATCGCGGGGGTTACGTTCTAAATATAATTTTGGTGGTGTCCAGAAAACAGAATTATCCAATAATTTTGTGACTTTTTTTGTCCTCTTTCCAAAACTAGGCTCTTGGTTCCAGATGCTGTCCATGCGGAGGGTTTTTTTCTTTGGACCAGCCGAGTTTAGCCGCTGAGGACTTTTGAATTAACTTGTTAAACGAATGGCATGCATCCAGGCTTCTTTTCACATTTCCTGTGGGAGGGGGCACTCGCGGCCATTTTGAAAAAGTCTGTAGGAGGAGAAAGTGATGACACATACATTTCAACGGCGAAGATAAGCGTCACTACAGCCGTTAATATTTACTGTCTATGTTTGCACACAAATATATGTAGTTTTTATTTTATTTTATTTATTTAAGGTGACAGAGACCGTGTACAATAAACATTAACCTCAAAGGGAGAGATGCATTGTACCAAGTTATAGCTCAAGAGCTAATTTCAAATCCTGGAAAGGTGAACCGCGTCTAATGCGAGGGGCCACAGTGAAAATGTCCTGGTCGTGGCTTCATCAAACATGAAAATGATGAAATAGTTTCTCTGGGTCTCATTTACTCTTGGGCAGCGGTCCCCAACCCCTTTCAAAGATTTAGAATGTGTCTGTATGTAAGTGATTGGATCAAATGCATCTTTTATCAAGGCCCTGTTTCCACCGGCCCAGCCCGACTCGGCTCTACTCTACCTGGTTGTGTTTCCATTACACTTTAGTATCTGGTACCGTATCCTAGCAGCTGTACCCACAACAAATCAGTACCTGAGAACATTCCTTGGTAACCAACTCTGACCGATCATTGTCAGTTAGAACACTTCAGTACCAGCTCGGATAGAACCAGGGCCAAGAAGGTCTTAAGAATGAGCTGGTAATGGTTACACTGGGCCGGTGGAAACACTCCCAATCGGGGAGAGAAGAGTATAGTAGAGGTTGGTGGAAATGGGGCTATTAAAAGATGGTTTTGAATGAAATTCACTGTGAGGGTTTTGTAAAAGTTTGTGTGAAAAAGTAGAACACATCTGTTTTAAGGTGTTTTCATGATCTTTGCTGAAGGTTTGTTTGTATATTTAGTAGGGCTAACAGTTATTACAGTTATTACGAATAATGAATTCTCGTGAGTTGAACTTGGTTTTGTAATGATGGATTATCAGGAGGCACAGTGATTCTTCACTGACTTATTGCAACAACTTTTAGGAAAATGAAACGCTAAAAACTGAATTTACAAGAAAACTAATTTTCTGAACAGTTTGAAACAGAGTAGTTCTG